CCCCAAAACCCCAAAACCCCAAAACCCCAAAACCCCAATAATATCAAAAGTGGTTGAAAATAGTGTTTCTCTATTGCAGAAAAAATATTATAATTCATAGACATTAACAAGCCAGTTAATGTTGATATTCATCTGAGAGAATATTGATTGTACTCAGTTCTGGGTGAGCTTCCTTCCATTGCTCGAGGTGAAGAGGGTTCACACTTCAGCATTTAAATTCAATTGTTTTTAGAAAGCCGACATCAACTCAAGATTTTATGGTGTTGAGGATATGCCAAAGATCTTTCTGATTGTCCAACAAAGACTTAGCTGAACAAACTATAGGGTTTTTTAAAGACATCTTTACACCTTTGGAATTTTCTGCATTATTGCTATTGATATTAAGCACTCCGCTCTTTAAAAAGAAGATAGTCTCAATCTTAATTTTAGCTTTTGGAAAAATCCTCTTGTTTTCATTCAGAATTGTTCAGAATTCAAATCTAAACTCTTTTAAATTTCAGCTTGCCATCAAAAGAGATCTGAGCTCTTTTTCATTTATTACAAGCCCATTTAAATAGACTCTCTCAGTGATAAAACTAATGTTCCTTGCCAAGTCACAAAGTTTACCAGGCAAGAATTGCCTTTGACTTCTTTGAGTCGGGAATTTTGTATTAGCAATCTCCAAAGAATTAAACCGTAAGAGTTTCTTTTGAATGAATTTGATAGCTTGCTTATTTACAATAAACACCATCATTAAGAAAAATATTAAAATCCCAGTGCACGAATGAGCAGAAGACAGGGAATCTGGAAGCTTTCTTCATGAAACCCTCAAGTCTGGCAAAATCCAGAGATCTGTTTTGATTTGGGTCTCTCTCCCCAAACTGGAACTCTCCTTGAAGTATATAATTTAGCTTTGAGAGTAGTCGGTATTCCTTCTTGTTCCTCTCTTTTTCAGTTCTAGAAATTTTTGAAAGAGCTGAAGAATTTGCTTCCATTTATGATAATTAATAAATATTTCTGGTAGATATTCCTATATCTGAATCATAGAGTGGGGTTTTGGGGTTTTGGGGTTTTGGGGTTTTGGGG